CAACTCAGCCATCTCAGTATCTCACCACAGGTTTATGTTTGCAAGGTTTTCAAATGATTGGCCTTGAAGACACCAAACAGACAAAATATGAAGGAGCTGCTGCCTGGGTCGCTTGTTGTGGGTTAATTTTCCCTAAGTTTCTGTTGAGTGCTCTTTATCGCCTAGCCTCTACTCAACTAGTTTCTTTGGCCTTGTGTCTCGGTGACAGGTCATGTTAGCTGTGGAAGGCTAGTCCTTTCTTTTCTTTTTTCTTTTTTTTTTTTTAAGGGGGGCTCCCTCCTTTGTACAGTTGCTCTTTTCTCTCTTAATGAAACGGTGCAAACTTCTCTTGCGTGTTCGAGAAAAAAAGAACATATCTAAACATACACTGTAGCAATAAGAAACGGTTATTATCGCCAATGATGCATGTGGTAGTAAGAGAAGAGGCATCTCTATCAAAAAGAAAAGGAGAGGTTTCCAGATCATTAGCTGATAGCAGAATTTAATGATCATGTCTAGCATTGATGTCAAGACTAACGATAATGCAGAAAGCACAACAACAACTACAAACCAAGCACCGAAGAACAACATTTAGAGACTCGGAAACCAAGCTAAAGGTTAAAGCATACCGTGGTACATTGGATCTATCTGTAAATCCTAGAAGCTTCACACCTTTCTCTGGCTTGAACTTGACTGCCTCCCATTCAGCAGTTGATACAGGAACAACTTGAGGACCATAAAGATACCCCTTAATCCTCTGGTCTGGTGGAACAACTTTGTCTGGTTCAACAACACTCTTGTACTCATAATCAACTTTGACTTCATGAGAGGCAAATTTATCACTTGGAGGAGCCATGTCCGAATACTTCTTCAAAGTGGGGAATTTCTCCTCAGCTGTTTTCTTATAGACCCACACCTATTAACAAGGGCATCCATATCAGCCATGAATGCGAGTAATATGAACATGCTAACACAATCACCTCAAATCTAATAGTCTCAAAAAAAACCTTGCAAACTGAAGCAGAAGATTTAATTTTTTATGAACCTCTGTAACTGATGGAACATCACGTATAACTGACAAACGAACTGGGCCTACCTTTATTTTAAAATTGGAGCTCACTTCCAGGTCTCCCCTGAAGACAGTAACTGGAAGCACATTTCTTGTCTTGAGAGCACCCAACAGCGATGTTGGGCTATCAACCTGAACTACCTTAGCAACTGATCTATTTCTGAACTGATACAATAATCGGTCGTTTTCTTCCATTACAGCATTATGATGCACTCCCGGTTCTCTGAAGATAATGCACTCCAACTTGATACTGTGTTTTTTCAACATGTCTGCAATGGTGTCCACCTGTTCTTCTTTAGTCCCCTCGGGCGGATCTCTTAACAGATCCTGTGCACCGGTGATTAAACAGAGCCTCCGCTTCCCTTTGGTATTACCAAATTTCCTCATCACCATATCCAAGCCAACAACAATAGAATCCAGAACTTTGCTTTAGTAAAGGAATTTCTACGCTGAATTTGGTCAGATTCCATCAGAACAAAACAAGGCTATAATCAAAACGAAATCACAAAAACAACTTTAAACTAAATAAACCATAGATGTATAGTTCCATACATAATAATTAACACATATAAAGAAGAAGCACATGAGAAAGAAATCAGTTTGGCAATCAATAGGCAGGAACCACTACATAAAGGACCAAAAAAAGTTAACTCACTGATGTCAGTAAATAAAACTAACAAAGGGCACTACAGAAAATGCAAACACTCAAAGATGAACAACCTAAGACATGCTACTTTAATTCAAACTGTCTGCATATGATTTAAGATTATCAAGCACATACATATCAAGGGCATATTAAGAAAGTGGAACTAGAGACACGGAGTTTATGTAGCGTAGCAGCACAAATACTTAGTCTGTTATGGCAAGTGGAGCCAGGCCAGGGGCCCACGCGGTACTGTAGCGCGTGAGCAGATTAGATTAGATTTTTGGTTTGTTAGGAAAGAGATATGTGGTTTGGTTTGTTAGGAAAGATATATATTAGATTGATTCGGTTAGGATATTTCCTTAGGGGTCAAGCCAGTCATCTCTATAAAAGAAAACCCTGTATCAGTTATAATGAAGGAAGAAGCAACAATTAAGTTGCTGGCTTCCCTTGGGAGCCAGCCGTTCCTGCCCTCTCCCCCTCGTGTGAACAGTACCCCGCGGGTACTGTAGCTCCGTCGCCGCCTCTCCCTCTCAATCCTAGCAGCCACATAACATAGTCCCTCCAGTTCCAAATTATAGGGCTGTAAAAACTATGTATCTAGGCATAGCATATATCTACATGCATACTGCATAACAAAATCTATGTACCTAGAAAAGGCAAAACGACCTATAGTTTGGGACGAAGGGACTAGCAGTTAGTATTAGGATAAAATCAAACCCACTCCTATTTCATGGATACAATCACCAGGGGCAGATCCTAATGGAAGGTTTTGCAGAGCCTGTGCCGTCCCTTCATCTACAACTTTAATATCACGTGTGACCGTCACATGCTTATAACCCCCAAGCTCCTTTGCAAGCTCATTGCATGTTCCTGAAAAGATCAGGGAAATGTACTCCATAAATTCTTAATTTTCAGAAACAATAAAGATAAAATGCTGACAGTGTTTGCGACAGATGTACAAGCAATATAATTTTTAATATCGTTGTCTAACTAGAAGAAGAGTGTTCCAAAATCTCCACTGATTCTAGATGTATAGCCAAAAGAATAAAAGTGCAAACCTTTGTCATTGTTAAGCAAACACTTAGTCAATGTAACTTCGAGCAGTTTCATAATATAAGCATTCCTTGAAGTGACATCATGAAATATATTAGGAAAGATAGATTTATTGTAAACAATCCTTGCATTAGAGTGCATATAGTACCAAAAAGAAGTTGACTAATTTAATGGCAGTTGTCTCTGGAGCGCTGAGTTCGTCTTGAAATTCCTATGGGCGTGTTTGGGACCGCTTAAAATCGGATCTGCGGTCATCCCACCGCGAGAATCAAGAAAATCCAGCCAAACACCCCACCAGAATCGATGATTGTTTCCACCGCTGCAGACACAGCCACTGCAAGATTGAACTAGCGCTCGTGTTTTCTGTACCACGGGGTGGAGGTCACGGTACTGATACTGCACCGCGACGTGGCTATGTTGTGGTCCCAAACACGCCCTATATCATGTTGATTCCTATGGAACTGAAGTAATTGTCTCAACACATGATTAAAGTGCACAAAATAGTTTTACTGTTTTTCATTGAACACAGTTTTATTCTGTTTGATCAAATTTATCTCAAAACACCCTGCTTTCATGCCTTCTCTTTGTAATGAAAAGGGAGGGTTCCCAATCAGAGAATGTAAAAAAATCGTATCTAAATTCGTTCTGAATGGTTACAAAGAGCTTACAAGATGACAAACAGTTCGAACCTCTTCAAACAAACAAGAAAAAAAAGGCTCAGCCAATAGTTTCCAAAATCTAATAGAAAATCAACAAATCAATACAATTTGAGGTACAAATAGAAACAGTTGATGCAACTATAAATAACTAACCTTTAGTTCCAAAGAGGACAATGCCGACTTCATCGCTCCTGTTATAAACTAGCTGCAGAAGTAGCTATCAATCTGAGATGGTTTGCTCGGAAAACTATATGCAGTAGCACTAATTGAGGAGGCTCGATGATGCATGAAAGAACATGTGCTTGCCTTCTTATGCACAAGAGTCAAGCATATGTTCTTGACCTCTTGCAGCACCCCATGCATCGAAGGCCCAACATCCAACAGCAAAATCACCACTTCCTATGAAATAATTACGTGATTAGCAAAAGCACAGGCATTGCTAAGAGAAGAAATGATAAGCCCATTTCATGCTTTTTTCTGAAAAAAAAGGAAGTTATAGGAATGTCCCAACAAGAGAACAAGGGCTCATTTAGTCATTTGTTCATCCAAATTTCCCCCCTGCGTAGAATGTGCATAAAAACTCATAAAGCTAAGACAGATACGAAGGAACAATTTCACATCTCTTTACATCATATAACACGTATGTTATGCAGACCTGCAGAGCATGAGGTGGTCATTTTTTACACATTAAAATAAAAAATCACTAGTTGAACTCACAGCAGCAGTGGGGGAATCAATCATGTATGCAGTGCAAAACAGAGAACATATTTTTATGACACAAATTCAGACAAGCTAGTAACTCGGAGCAACTGAAATGTACAGTCCAGATCACCAACCAGAGAACTTAACTTACAGGACCAGATTCTAATGGCTTTAGAAACATAAGTACGTTTTTCCTGCTTGATCAAGCCCTAGCATAGGCGAGGGACAAATCGCGCCTTTTTTTTTAAAAGCCAAATGTGTGGTGCATTATTGAGAAGGCGCGATTGGTCGAAACAGGGAAATACATTCTATGCGCAAGCAATGGAGATAAGACGAGAACGCACCCTGTTGCGGGCCATGGCGAACGTAGCGGACGGGGACTTGCCGCGCGGCAGAGAGAGGGGAAGAGCCGAAGAGGGTTTATTGTGCCTCCATGAAAACCTGAAAACCCGCTCGAAGCCTGGGGTAAGCTGCAGGAGCTGACTGACGGTAGGGTGGTCAACTCAACCAAGGGGCGGGGCGAGGTGGCCGGGTGGGGACGGGGTAGGGGGACTGGGGGAGCCGGGGAGGAGCAGCCCCTAGCGAGATGAGGAGTCGAGGACGGAGGCGGCGAGGAGGGGGGCAAGAGGAGAGAAGACTGGAAGAGACGGCGGTGTGCAGAGGAAGGAACGAAAAGGAAAGGAAGAGAGTGGTCCGGGCCGTTCCGGCCCAAAACGATTAGTTAATAGCCCAGCAGGGAAGCCCAAACTCGTCGCCGTCGCCTTCTTCCTCCTTCCATTCCTGAGCTTCTGCTTCGCACCCAACACAACGAGACAGACCCCATTCTCAAAAAAAGAAAAGAAAAAGGAGACAGACCCCCAACACCGTCGACGAAGAGGAGGCCGGAGAGAGGATGATACTGGCCGTGCTCTTCGCCAACTCCGACGGGAACATCCTCATCGAGCGGTACTTCCCCACCTCACCCTCCCCTCACTCCGCAGAGATCTCATCTCGATTTCGCCCCCCTTGACGAGATCTACCGTCTCCCTAACGCAGATTCCATGGGGTTCCCGCGGAGGAGAGGCTCCACTGGCGCTCCTTCCTGGTGAAGCTCGGATCCGAGAACCTCAAGGGATCCAAGAACGAGGAGCTCCACGTTGCCTCCCACAAGTAGGTTTCATCATCATCTCCCCACACACCAAATTTACTTTTTTCTTCATTCTTATTATTATGCTCGTGACCCTTTTGGTTTTATATAGGAATCAACCCATCTCTGATGAGAATTAGCTTCAGAAAAAAAAAACTATGGTATTGTTATCAACGGGTTCCTTTAAACATTTTATTTACTGTCATAATAAATCGATTAAACCAAGCATGAAAGATGTTCACAAGTCCTAGCTTATCAGCTGTGGTACGAGTTAACCATATGCTAGTAGAGGGCTAGAGGCAATTGGTCTTAAGTACATGTATCCCTTCCTGAGTCCCGGTCTTATGGTTGTTACTGAATAATGCTTGTCCTCTCAACCAAAACATTAGACTGTTGCTCCATCACTGTTAATCCTCGATGCTACCCCAGGTCCGTGTCTATTGTTTATACCACGATCGGGGACGTCTGCCTGTACATTGTTGGCAAGGATGAATATGATGAGCTTGCTTGTAAGTCACAATTTTCTGATAATCTTTGGTCTTCCTCCATTTCAAATCTTTGCCATCTTACATTGTTTTTAACTTAAACTGCCTTCTACCCTTTTAGTGGCCGAGGTGATTTTTGCAATTACATCAGCAGTCAAGGATGTTTGTGGAAAACCTCCTACTGAGCGCCTCTTCCTTGACAAATACGGGAGGATCTGCTTGTGCCTCGATGAGATTGTTTGGCAGGTAGATCTTCGACTCATTTTTCTGCCTCATGGATATTTCTTTGTGCCTGTAATCTGGATACAATATAATGCTTAGCATATCAGCTGGATGTTCCAATGTCTGCCATGTTCTGTTTTCCAAGCCAAATGTCAGTTGTGATCCTATGCAACAATGGTCTGCCTCATGATTATCAAACTTTTGTATGCAACTAAAAGAATTGTGCTATATAAATATGTTGTGACGTGTTACCTACAGTAAAAGAATTGTACTTTATCTGACTAATTGTGTTCATCATTTGTGCAGGGTTTGCTCGAAAACACGGAGAAAGACAGAGTGCGGAGGTTGATTAGACTAAAGCCCCCTGTTGAGCCATGATTTGCATGTAAAGCATATATGTTGTGTGTCACTGTAATCCAGATCCAATCTCATTTACATTCGTAGGCGATTTATCAGAGTTTCCATCTGCGCTTTGTATCTACAAGATCATCATCGCTCTTTTGAGGATTGCGTGCGTGACATCAGAAATAGTGTATCATCTGTGAATTGCTGTGTTGACGACTGAGTGATACTGCTCTGTATTTTCTGCTACTCCCGCAGATGCTCCCAGGGTATGCATACCCCTTTTATAGCTGATATGGGATTTTTTTATATATAATTGAGATGAGTTTATCCTGAGAAATAAGTGGGTAGCCAGCATCCATATATCATCCTAATTCCTAACCTAGAATTTGCACTTTGTTTGCAATTTTCAATGTGGAACCATGCCCTCGAACATTGTGTTTCAAATTTCAATGCATCGACTATTATTTCAAGGCATGTGTGGCTCCCTGAAGTCAACATAATTATCCGGTAGGTAAATTTTCAGTGCATCACCTATACTTTTATTATTGGTCTTTGTGCAAAACTGCTGCAGTTGGAAAGCTACACAGTCCTGGCGCTCCCTGTGTAAACTTGTTCTGTAGAGAAGAAGAGACCAATCAAAACTAAACCCCATTACCAATTCTCTATAGTAAAAAGAAAAATGTCACAAATCTGATGGAGTCAAATAAAAATTCTGTAGTCAAATTCCAACTTCCAAGGTAGTATATTAGTAGTAGCCAAATCGGTACATTGTGTGTGAGGAGGAAAAACAAATCCAAAGATTATACGGTTCCTCCACCACGATAATGGTATTTAAGAAGTGGCATTTAAATTTCAGAAACAAAACCAGCAGTGTAAGCCTGGCAATCAGCCAATGTTTCAAGAGCGGCTACGTGCTACTGCTAACTTTGTAATCTATGGAAGAGTTGAAGTTCCTTATGCGTTTCAGACTTCGAATTCTCTTCCTACAAACTAGTACATGTCCACAAATGCATGATCACCCAGTTTGCTCATTCAGCATTCCTTTGAAAATTGGAGCATTATGCAGTTACAACCACTGCGCCTATATTCAGTCATCCAGCAACGACTGCTGGCGAACTGCTCGTCTGAAACCATGAGACCAGATCATCCCTTGAACTGATGAAGCTGCCGGCTTGAGATTCACTCGGACAGAATGGCACCGCCATTTGCTCCAGATGAACGGCGAAAGCACTTGCCAGCCCCTGCGCAAACTTGTGGGTGCTGGATCCAGTGTAAACGCTGAAGGACTCTGGCAAAGCCTTGTGCTGCACCCAGTGCTCCGAGACAGTCTGCATCCAATCATCGAATGCTGTCTTGGCCGCACCAACCGAGAGCGATCGCAGGTCCAGTGACCACTCTTCATCCTTTCTGCTTTGAACCTTGGAATATAAACCGTAGGTCTGAGCAAGATGGAAGACTTCTCTTGCTCTCTGAGGAGGGAAGCCATGGTTGTGGCATACATCGATCAAACAGTTGCAGTAAGGGCGGCATACTTCAGGGGCCGCAGCATTCAATACGCTCTTCAGCTCCTTTGTGATATCGTCAGCACCAACCTGGGCATCACCGAGCACTCTGATCAGCTTGACCAGGTTCTGATTGACCTTTTCCAGCGAAGAAAGCACCATTTCCATCTCCTCCCCGCTGCTAAGAGCGATGACAGAGAGCAAGCACCCACAGAGCCGATCATCGGGATTGAGACCCTTCTCCAGCCCGACCTCAAGCACCTCCACGGCTTGCTGTATCCTCTGTGCCTTCCCGAGGCATTGGATGACAATGGTGTAGCTCATTATGTTGGGCTCTATCCCGCCCTTCAGCATTTCCCCAAACAGCTGGAGCGCGCGGTCTGTGTCCCCGTTGCTCCCGTATATGTTGATCATGGCCGTGTAGCTCCACTTGTCCGGCTTTGGTACGTCGCGGCATTCCGGATCCTTCATCTCGTTGAAGAGCTGCTCGGCCTCGGCCACGAGCCCCACGTCGGCGCACATGCTCAGCAGCGTGTTGCAGAGGATGTTATCGGCAGGCAGCTTCAGCTCCCTCATCTTGTTCCAGAGCTGGAGCGCGTCGCGGCCCCAGCGCGCCCTGCCGTAGATCTTGGCGAGCGCGGTGAGCGTGCGCGCATTGGGGTCGACGCCCTGGATGACCATTTCCTCGAACAGGTTGCGCGCGAGGCCCGGCTTGCCGGTCTTGCCCAGCGCCTCGAGCAGCGCGTTGTAGACGAAGATGTTGGGCTTGATGCCGACCTCCCTCATCTCCTTGAAGACGAACTGGATGCCCTCGTAGTCGCCGGCCTCCCCGAACATCTTGGCGAGGACTGCGAAGGCGACGTGGTCGGGCTTCCAGCCGCTGCCCCTGGCGCGGTCGAAGAGCGCGAGCACCTCCTCCTTCATTCCGAGCTGCGCGTAGACGTCGAGCACGGCGGAGTACGTGACCTCGTCGGGGAGGACGCCGTCGGCGGCGTACATGCGCTCGAACCACTCGACGGCCTTGGAGAACTGGCGGCAGCGGCGGGCGGCGGTGATGAGCGTGGAGTAGGTGATGTTGTCGAGGGGCACGCCCGCGTCGAGCATGTCGAGCGCGAGGCGCTCGGCGTGCGGCCACTGGCGCGCGGCGCGGAGCGACTTGAGGGCGACGTTGAAGAAGATGGTGTCGAGCTGGAAGGCGCCGGCGGGGAGCGCGCGCAGCCAAGCGAGGAGGGAGAGCGTCTTACGCCACGACGGGTGGAGGTAGTTGAGGAGGAGGAGCGCGTCGGAGGGGGACGGCGCCGCGCCCTGCCCCTGTCCCTGCCCCTGCTGCAGGAAGAAGGCGTCGAGGGTGCCCGCGAGGTCGGCGTCCTCGGGCAGGGCGCGGAGGGCGCGCAGGAGCGGCTGCAGCGGCACGGAGGAAGTGTTCGCGGAAGGGGAGCGGCGGCGGTGGCGGCTGAGCGAGAGCACGCTAGGCTTGGGCCTGGTGGGGTTCACCCAGGTTGGCTCCGGGGTGGGGCGGTCCGCGATCGGAGTGGGCTTGTCGTGGAGGAGCGTGCGGGAGAGCGGCTCCAACTGCTCGGAGAGGGAGGGCGATGCTGAGCCGGCCGCGGTGGCAGTGGAGGAGCAGAGGATGGTAGCGGCGGGCTTCGGCTTGGTCTTGGGGTGCTGGTAGCGGCTCCGGCTCCGCGGCGGAGAGAGGAAGAGGAATGCGGAGGCGGAGGCCGATGCCGCGGTTGGTGGTGCCGGCAGTGGCGCCATGGCCGACGCGGGACGAATGCAATGGATAGAGGAGGGGAGTGGAGGAGGATTGGGGAGAAGGGAACAGCACAATCCACTTCTATCCGACACAAATATCTTGTAATAACTGCCTGTATGAGCCTGCTATTCGGCCCATAGTTGTTTCAGGCCCAAGTAAACTGAGAGAAAAATAAACTGAAAGAACAAGTCCCTTCAAATCGAAACATGTTCATTGTTTACTTGACCAACATGTTTAGAGCAATCTTCTCTTGCACAGATCATACAAAACAACAAGAAGAAACGACGGCAAGAACACAAATTTGCATATACTATGCATTGCAGCAGGCTCGATAGTTTAAAAGTTCAGAAATGTTGTCACTGCTGTTCAGGGATTGATCTTCATGGCGTCCATGATGTTCTTGCCCTCAAGCTTACAAGACAGCAGCAGCCGGACGTAGTCCTCGACGCCTATGGTTTTGTACCTCGGCGGCTCGCCGTGGCACCCCGACCCGGTCCCGACCATCGTCTCCTCCAGTGGCGCGTACGTGCCGCCGAACTTGGCGGAGTGGAAGGCGGCGATGGACACCCGGTCATGGGTGGGGCTGACCACCGCCCGGTGCTCGATGCTCTTGTACCTCCCGTTGGTGAGCACCTCGACGAGGTCGCCGACGTTGGCCACCAGCGCCCCCGGGATGGGGTCGACGCTGACCCACGCGCCGTGCCGCCGGATCTGCAGCCCCGGGACGGCGCTGACCTGGAGCAGGAGCGTGAGCCCGACGGCGTCGGAGTGCGGCGACAGGCCCAACACCCTGCCGTGCGCGCCCCCCGGGCACGCCGGGTAGTAGTTGATCCGCACGGACTGTGAGTCGGCGAGCCTCGTCACCTTCCGGGCGTCCGCCACGCCCAGGTTGGCCGCCATGGCCGCCAGCAGGCGGGTGGCGACGCGCTGCACCTCGGCGGAGTAGCGGTCCAGCGAGTCCCCGAACGTGGCGGGGCGCGCCGGCCAGAAGCGCGGGGCCCGGTACTCGGGCGGCTGCGTGAAGAGGAAGAGGATGTCGGCCCAGTCCAGCTTCTGGTCGTCGGAGACGACGAAGGCCTGCCCGTACCCCTCGATCCCGCCGGGCTCCTGCGCCACCGCGCGCTTCTCGGCCAGCGGGAGGCGGAAGAAGGCCTGCAGGTCCGCCTTGACGTCGGCGATCACCGCGTCGGGGACCCCGTGGTTGAGCACCTGGAAGAAGCCCCAATCCTCGCAGGCGGCCTTCAGCTTTGCGGCCTCCTCGTCCCCGTGCGACGGGTCCAGGAGCCTCGCGAGGTCCACCACCGGCACCGAGGCGCCCGCGTCGCCGTTGTCGTTGGCGTCGACGTCGTCGCGGAGGTAGCGGTCGAGCACGGGCGGCGTGAGCTCGTCGGCGGGGCGCGCGGCCAGGTCTTGCACGTTGGGCACCGGTCGCGAGCCGCCCAGGCTCTGCGGCTTGGGGTCCATGGTAGTTGGTGACTGGCAGGCAGAGGCCGGTGCCATTTTATTTTGTCCTGGCCAGTCTCCATCATCCAGTTTGGTGGCCGGCTGTTTTCCTACTGTATGTCCGTTCGCTTCGGAAAAAAACAAATCGAAATACTATTTTAATTAATTTATTGTGAGAAAAAAATACTATTTTAACTAAAAAAATAGACCAAAAGGATTACAAGAGAAGCGGCCACTGTATATGGCTACTGCAAAGTCCATTGTCTATGGAGTCCATTTGTCTTCAAATTATTTATCCGAGAGATGGACTAAGTATTAGGTAGGAGTTTTTTTAAAAGGAAAAAGGACAGAACCCTATCATTCAAGCACCTTCAGCGTTCTGTCGAACCGTGCAATCGAACAGAAGCAAACAGCCTTTGCTAGTAAACGATCGCAAATTTCCAACTATAAATAATATTTTTCTCTCATATCAAATCAGTCAGCAGTAAATAATCCAATAAATAATCCACGATACGATACAGCTCTCGAACGTTCGGCTGAAAGTTCGCAGCCTCCGGCGGTGTGTGCATTGACTTCTGCAGCCGAATATATATTTTAAAATCACCTTTATCTGAGTGGCGATGCGACGTGACCAAATCACGAACGTTTACCCGATTATAGTTGGGCGAACGATCGGACAGCCTCTGCAACTTTTATTTTAGGACGGTTCTAACGGTGTATTAATGATGGTTTCTATTCTCGTTAAATAATTTATCACGTAGGTAAAATATGGACATTGTAACGTAATTAATGAAGAAATAGAGCAAAAATCCTAGAAATGGTTTTCTTATGAAGAAATCAGGTCTTCTCTTGACCCAATGCACCAAGAAACCATGAAATTACTATTGGGGAGAAACCACCAGTTTCTAAGGGGTTCGTGCCGCACTCCCATTGGAGAAAGAAAATAGAGTTATGAGAGAGAAAGAGAAAATAATTATTACTCATAGAAATCATGGGTTGAAAAACAGTACTTTTTTGTGCGGTATCCTATGTTATAGAAACTACTAGTTTTTTTATTGGAATTGCCCTTAGGAATAATCAAATTCCACCACTTTTCTTATTTGGCAGACAAATATTTTATTTTATTTTTGCACGTGCAAACACGTCGGTCTCGTTTTCTTTTCACGCGCGTGCACGTGAACCTGTCGTTCTCTTTTCTCTTGCGCATAACTTATACAAATTGAATTATACAACATAACTTCGAAAGAATAAGTTAAGCATGCTAAGTTACAGAACATTCTCTTTAGATTTCATCAGCATTTTTCTTTTCGTTTTAGAAACTAAACATTCGGGAATATGGAAAAAGGGTTTAAAAAAGGGTGGTGGGTGGTGTGGGTGGGGGGATAAAAGTAACTTTTACACCATAGACTACACAACAAAATCTCATGAGATGATGCAAACTTCAATAACAAGTTACAGAATAGATTTGCATAGCTTGTACAACTATGAGATTTGCATAGCTTGTACAACTATGATATTCATCGTCTGAGTCTTCAATTGCAAGATCTGTAAAATATTTAATATTTAAAAATCATAAATAAAAAAAGAACAATGTTCTCAACAAAGAAACACATAGCTTAATAGCAGAAACTAACATGATAATCTAACATTGGGTGATAAATTTGAAACTAAGTACAGTAAGTTGATCATACATAACTCTATACAATAAGTTAATCAAATAAGTTAAGTTGCATACACATGAAAAGATAGGTTAGATACATAACTCTAGACAATAAGTCAATCAAATAAGTTAAGTAGCATATACATGAGAACACAAGTTAGATACATAACTCTGTACCATAAGTTAATCAAATAAGTTAACTAGCATACACATAAAAAGAAAGGTACATAACTTTTTTAGACTTAGTTAAACAACTAAGTTGGCTAGCATGAAAATCATACAAGTTGTACCTTATTGGTCTAGAATTTGAAAGTTTTATAACCTTTTTGTTTAAAAAGATGAAAATATAACCATTCCTTCAAACACAAAAACATAGGTACAATATGAAAATCTTACATGTTGCTCAGCTATGTCACGTGTTGCAGATAAAAATAATTGATTCTCCTCATGGGTGCACAAATAATACGTCAATGCTTCACGAATAGGCTTTGCATGTTCCTGTATGACATAAAAATTTCAAAAACTTCTTGTCAACGAATCTGAAAATGCAGGCAATATGTCCTAATCTAATGGTCACAATTTTAAATACAACTTGAGAAGCAACCAAATTTCAGAGTATAATAATACTTAAAATATGTAATAAATTTTGCACAAAGTAATACCTATTTGAAATAAAGGTGAGTCTGGCCATCATAATATTTAAGTTATCAAACATAACTTGTGTATATAAGTTACTCTATACAACTTATGTATATAAGTTACTCAATACAAGTTGTGTGCATAGGTTGTGTTATAAGTTATACTTATAAGTTACGGAGTAATGTTATAAATTATATGTAATAAGAAAATACACATAAATTACTATTAAAATAAAATTCTTCGAAACATATACAAGTGGAGTTTAGCTTTACTCGTCTCATCATGTAGAACACACCAGTTTAGATGGAATTAAAAATAGATACATCGCTAAGAAGTTGTAGCACTTTCAAATAAACGTTTCGCTTTTTCAAAATGACGTCTGACAACATGCAACGGTGGACGCAGGTGTTTACTGGGCGCGCGGCTCGGTGGAATTGTTCGCTGGAATATATTTCGGTGAACGACCGCCGGAATGGAATTGGGGCAGCGATGACGAGAGCAAAGGATTGGTGAGAGGCGACGCATCCGCGCATGGACTTTTTATTCTCCTCGGTTGGGCTCGTGGGCAAGCTACTCCCTCCTCCGTTCTAAATTATAAATTATTTTAATTTTTCTTTTGTTTATTTTACTATACATCTAAATAAATAATATGTTTAGATGCATAGCAAAATAGATGAACCAAAAATTAAAATAATTTATAATTTAAAACGAAAGAAGTACAATTTTTGGTCCAACACCCAATGTTCGATTTCTCCAATGTTCCCAGCTTTCTTTATACCTGCAATTCTAGTATCAAGTCCAGTTGACGGATGGACATATAAAACATAACAAGATGAAAATAGTCATCAGTAAGTAGAACCAAGAAGCTTTTCCCTTCTCGGACTCCGTTCGCGTGCCCTTAAATTCGGCTTGAACCGTTTTTTTTTTCATCCAAAACAGTATTTTTCTCTCACAAATTTCTTCAGATTTATCCAAAACCATCCAAATTCCTCCAAACGAACGGGGCCTAGATTTATCTTACAGTCGGTCCACATTTTGGTTGCAAGCCATGCGTTTTAGTACCTCCTCCATCCAATTTGGCCCTTTTAAATGTTTTGTTGCCCCTTTTTCCCTAGTGGCTGCAGTCGAGCTCCAAAAAGAAGTTTCTATTTGTGCCAGGTACATGTATCAAATGTTGAACTAAAAATCATAAGGTTGCAGCCATCACCTGCATCTATAACATGTCAACTTCTTTTCTTGGTTAACTTCTGCGATAAGCAATTAACCCAGTTCCCAAAACCTGCATTTTTTTCCTATTCTGAAATTGGTAATAGTCCTCACAAAACAGTTGTTTATGAAACCAGTAACGTTTCCTTCCAGTTGTCTTGCTATATATTCAATTTCTTTAAGGGCGTGTTTGACAGGGCTCCTCCTGAGAGGCTCCACCAAAGGAGCCGGAGCCGTTTTGAAAGAGCTATAATAAAAAATGGCTCCTCCGGCAAAGCAAACGGCAGGGCTCCTCCGAAGGAGCCAGAGCTAGAGCCGGATAGGAGCCCAGGCAAACAGGCCCTAAAGCCAAGTAGCTAGGGGCTATCTCTTAGAAGTGTTTCATCTCCATCTGTAAACTTGCACAATCAGCTTATGTGGGTGTTGGATGCTTCATGTGGTTTACTTTCTTGTATGCACAGATGAAAATTAGGCCTCAGATGATTTGTTTTCAAAGGACGCACTTCATTAACTGTTTGCTGATTCTGTGCCAGCCTAGCAACACTTTGCTTCAGCTCTGCGACTACTACCTGCTAACACACTCCCTTAACTGAAGATTTTGTTTTTGCACTGAAATTCCGTGTGTTAGTGCTGCCTCATGAATATGAACAACGATATACCTATGTTTCCTTACTGAGATCATAATATTGTATCCTGTAATGTATTAGGGCCTGTTTGGAACAAAGAAACTGAAAACAGAGGAATGAAAAAACCACAGGAATATGATTGATGTGTAGTGGCAAAATAGAGGAAAGAAAAAACGCAGGAAATAGAAGGAAGAGGTGTTTGGAATACATGAATTCGTAACAAGGGAATCGCAAAATATATGAACGATAAAGATCGTTATTAGTGTCTAACGATGATATGTTAATTGCATAGTTTGTCTATATTTCTCCTGCATGTGGGGCCATTGGTGCCCATGGACTCAAACCATGATGGTTCATTGTTCAATACAGTTGTAGTCCACTCACAGGTCTCTTTTCCTCTTTCTGTTGCTATAGCACGGATAAGCTCCACTCTTTTCTCTTCGTTGGCACAAAATCAACGACGGAGAGTGAGTTGTTACATCGGTCTTTGTGAAGGAAGAAAATCCATGAGAACTGATTGGATTCTTTTTTTCCTGTGTTTTGTTCATGCAAGGGAGTTGTTCCTTAGGAATGGAAGTTGCAATTCCTTTGTTCCAAATGGTAAACTGTAAAACCTTTTCACAGGAATAAAATCCTCTATATTTTCTTTGAAAATCCTTTAATCCAAACAGAGCCTAAGCCTTTGTGTACGAATCACATATAATAGTAGTCATATCCATCCCAGCATTACCAAATGGAATATCAATGATTCCACGCCCGCATGGGCACGCATCGATTATATTAGAGACTTCTTGACATTGGTCTTTATCTCAGCTATTTTAGGACTTATTACGTTGTTGCGTTTGTATTCTTTGAACCTTTATATCGCCTATCTTAAGACCTATAATATT